GTATATTTAGATGATTTACCAGAAAAAGAATGAAATATAAAGAAATGGATGTAAAAGTGAGTTTTTGGTCAATGCAACAGAACATAATATCACAATTAAACAGATGTTTTGGTGAACAGTTTGATGTTCTCATCATTGACTAACATTCATTTTTCTGGAAGAAATAAAACTATAAATAAGTTAAGAAGTCGATGCATCATGTATCCAGATTCTGACAATACACCGACTGAAAAGTTTTTGGTGCAAAAAACACAATTGTTAAATCCTGGTGGTTTTGTCTGTGCTGTAGATGATCAGCTGATTGTCTACCGCGGCAAAGCTTTATTTATTGATCGGACCTACGAGAGTCTGCAAAATGTTCCTGTGCTCCGTGCACAGTTCTTAAAAAAGCACTTCGATATTGTACATGTTCTAAAAAAAGTATAAAATCAAAAAAAATAGTACCAATTGTGGTAAAAATAATCAGACAATATCTCTACACCGACATTCCATATCACTATGTATATCAGAACAGCCGATGGGTATTGCGACAGCGAGGTGAGGACAAAGTCATTACAAGATCGTATGCGGTCAATCCAGAGGAAAAGGAGAGATTCTATCTGAGAATGCTCTTGCTCAATGTGAGAGGTGCCACGTCATTCGACGACTTAAGAAGTGCCAACAATGTTGTATATGGCACATTCGAGGAAGCAGCAAGGGCAAAAAATCTTCTGCAGGATGACAGTGAATGGAAGAACGTACTGGGCGAAGCTGCAATGACAGAGACATCTGACCACATCAGAAAGCTGTTCGCATACATCTGTGTGTTTAACAGACCGCATGATGCACTTGGGCTGTTCAACGACTACGTTGACGATATGCGCGATGACATCGTTAACGAGATATATGGTGATGCTGCCAACATGGCTGACAGCTAAGATCTGACGAACAGAACTATACTCACAACAAACAACGATACTGCAAAGGAGATCAATGACAGGGTCCTTGACTTGATGATCGGCAACAAAATGATATACACGAGTGCAGACTCTATTGTCACAGAGGACAACGATGTTGTTGCGAACTATCCGTTAGAGTTTCTCAACAAGCAGCAGCCTTCAGGAATGCCACCGCACAAGTTAGTTCTAAAAAGAGGTGCGTTGATAATGCTATTGCGCAACCTTGATCCAGCCAATATCCTACTCAATGGCACACGCCTGGTGGTTGATGAACTCCACACAAACTTCATCATAGCTACTATTGTAACCGGATCCAGGAAAGGTAGCAGGGCAGTCATACCAAGGATCGACATGGCACCGAGCGAGACACAGCTGCCATTCATACTCAAGAGAAGACAGTTTCCGGTTCTTCTTTCGTTTGCGATGACAATCCACAAGTCACAGGGTCAGTCATTTGACAAGGTAGGTGTTTATCTGCACAGCTCTGTCTTTGTGCATGGTCAGTTGTACGTAGCTTTGTCGAGAGTGCGCTATGCAAAAGGTCTAAGGGCGTATGTTGTTGACAATGGAGACCAAGGAAAGCATGAGAATGGTAAAGCATACACTATAAATGTTGTATACAATGAGCTACTGGAATGAAAGTGATTTATTGATTTGTAACTATACAACAATTAATAGAAAGGAATGACCTGATGTTTTAGTCACATTCAAAAGCGCTATTTTGGTATACTATCCATTCATGCATCCGTTTTTGAAAAACGGGATAGCGCAGCTAGTAGAAAAAGAACATTTTACACATTTTTATTCACCGAAATTGGTCCATTTATCCTCCCTCACATCAGCGACATCCCAGCCAACAGCAATGGTCCGATTGTAACCACTGATCCTTGGTTCATCCTAGGTCTCATTCAGCTGCCTTCAACATGTCGCTCCTCATTCGGCATATCGTTGCTAGGTCATTGAACCTTCCGCTACCAGGAGGTGTTCTTAATTGGCATAGACAGGATTTACCTTTTTAGATTTACCGACAGGTTGGCACTTCTTGGACACACTTCATACCGGGTACATCTTCGGTGACCAGAAAACTTCTTTGGCATTTTCACGAATATTCTCTGTCAAAAGCGGAACTAAATCTAAGATCATCGCGAACGGTGAGGTCATGCTCTCTGCTTAGCCATCACCCTCATCTGATGTTATCGATCTTGAACCGGCCTAAACATAAAATTTTACTTCGCGACCTGCCGTACGTGTCTATTTATGATGAGCACATGCCACAATTCGTATAAAAGTAAAATACCAAGCATAAAAAGATCTTGGCAGCACCACCATTCCTTTCCATCTTGTTTCATATCTCTGTCACGTTTCATTTGTAGATCGATTCTACGCAGATTCAACCAACAGAAGTGCTGTGAGCGATAGCGCGTGGAACAGTCTTCCTGTTGGAGGTAGGCTTATTGAGGGCCTCATGGTAATACAATACCTTAGATCGAACCTAAGGAAGAATGATGAGCACATCCGATTTACATATATGATGAGCACATCCAGTTTGAACATCCAACATGCACATCCAAGATGCACACCAAACATGCACACCAAGGAGTCTAAAAAGATGCATAGGACCCCAGCATGACCAAAACTACATCTTGAGCAACGCACCGTATGCACATTTAAATATTTTTTTCTCATCATTTTGAGCGGCAAGCTGAAAGCATTCTCATCCCTAAATTTATGTTTTGCTTGTGGAAAGCGCAACATGGTCTGCAAATGAACATCACAAAATCCGATCGGTAGGTCCTTGTGCCCATAAATACGCAGGATAATGGCAGCTGCTTGAAATTATCTAAGAAAATAATTGTTTATAAAGTGCTTGGTAGGGCAAGCGCAACGAAAATATGTGCAGCACGTATCATTTGGGAAAAGCTGTGTGCAAGCTAACGAGCACATACACTTATACCGCGGCTCATAGAACGTGATGCACACCAAAAATGTGTTCTTGCGCTGTTAACACGTGCTGCTGCCTCAGTTAACGCCTTTCTAAAAATCATGTTTAATGCATTTTATACTCAGTATCCGAACCTACCGCCCATGGGATAAAATGGTCGTCTGGAAGCGGCAGTTGCGGCTGCCTCAGCAGGTGTTTGTGGATCTAACGGGTTGCCATACATGCCTGATCCAAACAACAACTTATTGGTCTTGGCGCTCTCGCCTGTGCATAGTATTGCCGGAGTACCTAGGAGAAGAATGCGTAATAAATTCATGGTAAATCCTGGCATTCGTTCTTTTATATTTTTTTTAAAAACGGATGTTACGAGTGCACGAAGCAGCGCGTGTACGGGATAGGCAACCTCTGTAACAAGCAAGATCGTGCTCAGATCTGATTTGTGCGTTGAGCAGGCGATAAATGTCAGCAGGGAGCGCAGCAGAATTGGTGGTTGCGTGTTTCCCTCGTTTTGATGTGAAACACGTGAAACGATGGTTATTGGAGACCTTGCCTTAACGAAATAGGGTGCTTCAGACGAAAGATCGGTGTAAAGTGCGGTTGAGGATTCAAGGATGCTGCTCGGGTTAATGCGTGGATGGCACCATAATTCTGTGGCGGTCTGCATGGTGTTCAAGGGCGGCTCAACAACGAGTAATGCGTTTGGCACCGCTCGCTCTGCTCTTTTAAAAGTTTTGGTCCTTTGTGACGGGAACAAAGGGTAGCGCGCTGTTGAACATACGTGTCTTCTAATTTGGGGTGCTTCCACGTTTGATCACCGCACTGCGAACGGTAAAGAAAGAAAATGCGTTCCTTCAAATCATCCTCTGTCGCGAAGAGAAGTAATTTTTTTATTTTTGTCTAAACAGCAATTTCTGTCCCATGATATCACCGAGATAGCAGGAAAAAAAATTACAGAAGCGTGTTAAAACAAATTTAATGAGTGCAAGGACAGAAAGCATCGGTACACCTGAGCGGTAGCGTTGTTCCTTGTTTAGTGGATAGGAGAACATCCAGCCGTGATCGCTTGATTAATGCATTAAATTATGGTTAATAAAAAATAACGGAGCTATCCGTGAACCATCGCAGCCTATCTGTGCCGGTGAGTACGTCAAAATAGATGTTTGTCAATTAATTAATTACGTGCTATCAAAAACAAAATAATTTTTTTAAAAAATAATTGATAAAAACTATAAATACGAGGAAAATCTTCATAGTATGCATTTTTTGATGTGTTTGTTTTGCTTTTCAAGTATTTACTCTACGAATGGTAACAGCTGCAATGTACGGACCGGCAGGGCTGGTATAGAAGACAACAACAATGCAGCCAACGATAGATTCCATACGATACAGCGGGAATATGAAATAATGAATAACATGGTTTATGATGCTTTAGAAATGACTTGCAAGCAATTTATAAAATTGGTACGGAGACGACAGAATTCTTGTGGTAACACCTATTTTAAAATATTGCATGGTGAACTGCTGGGTAGACTGAGAGAGAGATGCACAGAAAAAGTGTTACGGAGGATTATTGAATTAAAATACAGTGCAAAAAAATTAAAGGATAGCGTGAAAAAAATGAAAAATACTATCAGTCGTAACAAAGTAAGTTTATACAGGGATGAAATAGACAAAATGGCGCACAATATGATTGAAGTTGCTAAGGGCTTTTCGCTTTTGCGTGCGCCATACGCTAACTCACTGGATCTATCCGGCAAAACGGCATATGTTGATGTTTATTACGATGAATTTGAGAAAATGCACGAAAGACTAGCCAGTGCATTGTCCAGATTCAGTGCCAAATCAATAATGGTACCGTATTTCAAAACAAGAAATAAATATACTTTTAAATGGTTGTGTGAAACTTGCGAATTTGCGAAAATGAGCGAAGCATTATTTTCTAAAGCGGAAGAAATGCTTCGGAGTGCCAGAAATTTTTTGATAGAAAAATATAGGCAGACAGGTAATGAAAAATGGTTGGAAACACAACAACCGGCTGTTTGTACACCTGCGAGAGACTCGCAGCTTTATAATACTGAGAAGAATATAGGAGATCGGATCTTGTTAAGTGATCAGATATCAGAGAAGAGCGATGATCTGGAAGAGTGGGATAGTAGTGATTTAAGTGGATCGAATAATTATGAGACGAAAAATGACTTATCTGAGTCTCAGAGAACTGCATTGAATATGCTACATCCTTCTTGCGCTCCACCCTGTTCATCTGGTTACATATCTGGGTCTGCACCTCCGGTCAACCATCCAGTACTTCCTTCAGAAAATCTTAGTAGAACCGTTGGTCGTTGTTCACCTCCACCACAATCATCTCAACACCTAAAACCATCACGATCATCTTCACGACCACAACCACCTCCTCAACACCTAAAACCATCACGATCATATTCACGACCACAACCACCTCCTCAACACCTAAAACCATCACGATCATCTTCACGACCACAACCACCTCCACATCAAGAATCATCCTCAAATGCCCATTCTAAACCATGTAACCCTCTTTCCCAACCGTTTCATCCAGTCCAAACATCCAATCAGTCTCCTCCTCTTTTATCTTCAAGTAACTCACCAAATCATCAACATTTTCGCAACTATTATGATTTACCATCTATGTTTAATTCTACACTAGTTTAATTTTAATTAACATATTGCTCAACATATGTTATTTGCAGCATTAAACATAAATTACGAACTTTCCTACTGAAAAATGGCATATCGTGGATTAAACCAAATTTACCTGCCATTTTAGTTATTTTTACAGAAAATACCATTAATGATGGCTGTTTCATCGATGTATTTACAACAATTATTTTTTTCTTGTGACAAAGAGAATATCTCTGTCTACAAATCATGTAATTACCAACGTTTTGTACACCAGAGAAGGCCAACCTGTAAAAGACACACCACTAAGCCCATCGGTTCGTATACAACCTTTCACAAGCAATTTATACACTTAAAAACGAATAACACGGGCTATCATTTTCGTTCCATTTCCTCTTCTCACAATTCCTTATCGCTAAAAAATGTGCCATTCACAGAAACACCATCTCAAAACTATAAATTGGTTGGTGTAGTGGCAGGATATGTGAAAGGAACGGTAGGCATGCTTAGTTTTCTTGTTACTGATCATTTCTCTGTCTTTGTACGTGCACATCATCGATAAACGGTCACTTAACGAAGATAAAATGTTTATATTGTAGCGCATACATCAATTAAACCTGTTTACTGTTCCTTCCATGCTTTCTCATCTTTTGCTCCGAGCAAGCAACCGAGTTTAGATCATTACAGTAAGTAATTCCTTTAGCCGTAGGATATCATGATGAGTATTACGTAGATCTTCCATGTTTCGTGTGCCTCTTCTCTTCCACATCGTTTCTTAAAGCAGCTGGTGCTCTTATCGCTTAGTTACAGCACATGTACACGCAATTTCCATAGTTTCTTTCACTAAAAGTCATTTATACATTTTTTCGCATCAGAACATCTCAAGCAATTGCTGAAGCTCGCAGCAATGTGTTTTAAAGCCTGTTTAATTAACACACACAGACAAGTGTTCCTAGTGCGCTAGTGCGGTTCATTATTCTCTGAACTCTACGCACTTCGAAATCAGAAAGTACCCGTTTGGATGTGAAGACACCAATTAAAGCAGCTCCAATGATACACATTATGGTGCATGTTATGTCTGTTCATGTGCCTATTTCGGTATATAGAACCATGTATTGTAGATGTGGTGCCTGCCAGCACAATGTGACCGCAATGATGATCTGTCTGCAGCATGGAAATGTTTGATGGATATAAACCGCAATATTTTTGTGTTGTTAAACTGCAAAACTATAAATTTATGAAAAAGTTTTACCCCTGCGACGTCTGTACTTATCAGAATCATTTGTACAGTTCTTTCGCATTCCAAGTTCGTCTGAACTTGTACCCGACAGGGCCGGGATGACGAAACATGGTTACTGCAGGCTTGGACGATGACAGATGATTTGTCCTGTGCGGTGTCTTTCTGACTGGTCTTGTAAATAAATATTATATGTTTTGTGCATTCTCTGTTTACGCACGTGCTCTTGAAGCATGGCAGGCTTGTGCCTGGGATGATTCTATGACGCTGCCGGTTCACTTTTCTCTGATCAATTTGAGCGTGGTGTCTTTCCGTCGTAGGGGTAGTCCGCAGTTTGTATCCCGTCAGTGGGCTATCTATGGTTGTTGTTGTGAAACGACCAATGGGCACCAGCAAGTCACAGGATTACGGATGGATACGTTCTATCGTATGTTACACACGTTCTTTTTCCGAGTCCGTCTCATAACCCATTTACAAACAGTTTGTATTAAATAATGCTTTTCCACAGTCATCGGTCTTTTTTCGCGCTTCATCCGATATTCAGTTCATCCGTGCGTACTGCTGGCATAATACACTTCTAGCTCTGCAAATTATACCATTCAATGTAGTACACACGATAGATTGTGTATTCCAACACCAATGCGTCATTACACGTCTTCTAATTCATAAAATGAGAGTTACAACGATTGGTAGGATCAGCACAATTTTAATGCAAGCACAACGAGTATCAGGTGTCCTGATTAAAGGTAAAACCACGATCCGAAACAACATACTCTTAGCAAATGATTTGAAACAAATTCTAAGTAAAAACCGCCTATTCCATACGCTTTACACCGCGTTTCCAGGTACTAAAACACGCTAATCTTAAACACCCTGCCCTACATCCGTAACTATCAAGCCAATATTTACGATATATGCTCTACAACACTTTCGTTGCTTTAAACTCCCTTTCTATTCCACGTGTCAATGGGCGCCCAAACCAAAAATTGCTAACAAAGTAAATGTTGCTTATAAACCGTTTATCAGTGGTAAATCGCGCCAGAAACACAGAAAGACCCACAAAAAGACTAAGCGGATCAAATAACCGATGTAAATCGTTTAACAGCGTACAATTGCAACTACGACGGTTGCTAGCGCACATATTATCTTCAGAGAATTCTATCAGACAACAAAATATTTATTTTACTCAATTTTGACGTGATATAATAATAATTTTGACTGCAAAATGGTACGTGATGCTCAAATATTCACATTATCTAATCACCATTATAAAACACATTTTGTGACATTGCCACTATATTTCAAAGTGATAATGGTTGTCCATGCTTGTTTATTGCTTGGTATTTCTTGTCTGTGTGCGGTCCATCATAGATTTACAGCAATATGGTTTTGGGCATACACAGGATGACAATTTGGTGAACAGTATGAAAGATAATAAGGGCGTTACCATGAAATCGTTTGAATTTTAAATAAACAATGGTTATATCGGCGTTATACGAATAGCAATAGTGTATTTGTTGACATCAGCACGTTTTTGTCGTGTGTGTTGCTGACTGTAGACCCAATTAGGGCGCTAAATGAAATATCTTATTGCCGTAATTTGATCGCATATCAGCAATTATTAGCCACATCGGTAGGTGCCAAGGTATATGTGCGAACTATTTTCTTGTAAAAGGCACTCATTTGTGCTATTCAGTATTTCTATTCGGGATATGCTATTGGTTGATAGCAGGTAAATGGTGTTACACGGGAATAATCCGCTCAATACGAAGAGATAATACAAAATACATTTCCTATACGATGATTGGCGGTAAAATTGAACGTAAATATCAATCTACACGTATCAGAAAATGAGAAGAATGGGGAGTCAGTTGACAGAGAATTAACATAAACAATAAAATAACAGCTTAGAAAGAATGCGGGCTGTCCAAGACCTAAGGAAATATCAATTTAAATAATGTTATCTTCTGGATCACAAGGGTATTTAACCAGCTCTTGTATAATAATCTAATTGTAAAAGAATGGTTTGTGTAGAAGCGAGAATAATATTGACTTGTTGTACTTCTGTACGACAGTGATACGCCGTATGGGGCAAACAAATCCTTGGCAGATTGCGGTCAACCACAGAAAAATATTCTGTGATGGCATGTTTATTTGTGTTAATATGGAGAGGTAGCAATCCAGCAGATATACTTTGGATAACGATTGATTTGCTCGTCCTAATAAAAATTGCTCTAACGAATAGGGTGTTTTAACAAATAACAAATGCTGCAAGAATTAAAAAAGGGATTTTATGATTGGTCTTTCTCATTGTTTACTGTTTTTTATGCTGTACGATTAATAATATTAATCTAGGCTTATCTGTGATTGCTACCAATAGTTCGCAAGCATTCATGTGTATGCACCATTATACGATAACTAAAGAGATTTATAACCGAATTATCACTGATTCACATCAACAATACCTGTTAGTAATTCTGAAACAACATTTTCATAGGTACGCACTAATCACCTCACACCGCGTAGCTCCACCTTATACATACCTCAATACACCGTACCAATTATCTGTTCACTAATATTTACTAACCGTACAAAATATCAATATCAGTACTACGTGTGCTAGCCGGTCTGTGATCAATGTTAGGGTGTCATATTCAATCACACTCCTTAATTTGTTTATGTTGAAAATGTAAAGTGATTATTAACAGGGGTGTATGTTCATAGTTGGTAATGCTACAACAAATAAAATGATAAGTAACTAACTTGGTTCATTATAAAATACTGTCTATTTGGACCTGAAACATTGAATAGTTAAATAAAATAATCAATTTTCTATTCCATAGCGGTTCGTAGAAAAGCAGTAAAAACGGTGAACACGGTACAATGCAGCATTCCTCTCCACCATGTTACATACCACAGCAGTTGCGAATAAATTTGTTTGTATTATCCAACACTTAATTAATTTGACAATCAACACCGTATTCTTACGGTACATAACGTTCTCACAACCGTAAAACACCTCATTGCGCTGTATCGTATATCTAAATCTCAAAACATTTCTAAAACACCATCAAAACCAAAACATTTGTAAACGTATAAAAGAATCAAAACTTACCGGTAAACAAAATGTGGATTGCTTTGCTTGTTCTAATAATGGGAAGATTTATCAACACGTATGAGATAGCGGTAGAATACTGGGAGTATGAAAATGCGCTTAATACGTGGGAGGAGGTGATGGTGATGATTATGAGGAAGTTTAGTAGGTTTCGGGCTAATGGTAGGAGCGGTGGCAGAGATAATAGGAGCAGTGGCAGAGATAATAGGAGCGGTGGCAAAGATAATAGGAGCGGTGCCACAAACGGTGAGAGCAACAGAGGTGGTAAAGATAAGGACAGCGACAGCTGTTCAACAGATACATACTTTGATGTGTATCTCTACGAGAAACAGAAACGAAAAGAAAAACGTAAAAATCGAAAACTCCACCGTAAGCAAAGCACTCACATAGAACTTACCACACTGGTGGATGCAAATGATGCGATTAATGCACTGTCCATGCGCGACAGTGATGATGCCATCCATGTTAATACGAGCAACGCTCCACCCAGCAGTACTTCCCCATGCGGTAACGATGGCATCACCACCATAAATACGCGCAATGCCCAACACAATGATGTTGTTGGGGATGTGACTGTTAAAGAATACGTAAAAGCCTGTGCAAAACAGGTAGAGGATGTCGAAGAGGAGTATTTTGCATTCAACGATTTTACGCTGTTGTACGATTAGAAATGCCCTTGCGACCACGAAACCAGTTCTGCATCGTTGCACGAATAGAACGTACCATTGTTAGCTCAATAATAAGAACCATTTCCATGACCACGTGCTGCATACCAAATATCACCGTACTGCTCTTGCACTGATCTGCTCATTCATCACAAATAGCAACCGCCATCACAACACCACTATTCATCTCATACACTATCACAAATACCGATCACCACGAAAAATACGCACAGCAACCCAAATGCATACTTAGAAGATGAACCGTTGCCAGAATAGCATCGATACCTTAACACCGCAATACGCATCATTTAACACGGTGCTCATTAAACAACAATTTCATTTCAATCTTGCATTTATGTTAAATTAAATGCTAAATTACCAATATCGGTAACATTTACGTATCATCCGCTGTATTCCCGTTCTTAAAAGGTGTTTGTTGCACATATTTTCATTCTCCTGTAGAATTATAAGTATTTGTCGTACTTCGCTGGTCCGTCCCTCAATACCGCACCATTTTACTCCTCAATTCACCGTAGCAACACTTCACAACGTATTAATATGTTTGCTTTGTATGCAACATAATTGCTACACGGTACGGCCCACCCGTCCAAATTTTCACGCTAATTTTCATGAAGAGTAGCAAAATCAACTCGTAATCAAACCCTTTTTGCGTATGCCAACGTTAATGCTTGTACGATAGAATGATATGGCATGCTACCAAATCATTTTAGTGCAAAACCAATCTTAGCAATGAAACAGTCCTTACAACATGGTTGAGTGCATTTATGCTACATGTCTGTGCGTATTGGTACGTCCCTTGATGCTACACGATGTGAGCGTATTACACTTTTACATTTCACTCTTTTTGCTGCAGTTTTATGTTCTAGAAAGTTTTTGCCACACCACTGTACCGTACTCTAAAACACATCATTACATTCCTTACCACGCTCTTACACCCTATGCTTCATTCCAGGTATAAAAATAATCCATCAATCCATTGAATGCGTTTCACACCAACAACCCTAACAATTCTTATCATCCTTAAAACAGCATTTTGCGCTCTCAGCAACGTTGTAGATGATCTTAACGATGTCATGAAGACCCCCATGCTCGAAAGAGCTGCTGGAATGAACGGTTCGGTTCCGCTGACACCCGTACAAGCAGCCGCCAATGCAACTGCAGCGAACGCAGGCATGTTTTGATGATTGTTTGGCATGTTGCGTATTAAACGCGTTTCTATTTTTTATTATGCAGCATTCTGTGCGGAGCGATGGTACCGTGTTGTTCGTGTGAGCTGCGACAGCGTGTAGCACAACGTAATACGATGCATAAATGGTTGATTGATGCATGAATGACTTGTAGCGTAGAGATACGGTTGAAAATCGTGGTCTCGTGCTAAACCGTTCCATTGATCGGTAACGTGTATTTTGATCGGTAACGTGTATTTCGATCGGTAAAGTGTATTTTGATCGGTAACGTGTATTTTGAACGCCACCAATAACATTTCAAGACAGGGGTCCGTTATCAACATCATTATCAAAGCAATGATATACCGCCAGTATCATTATCCATTACCGCCCTCTCAGCATTTCCAACCAATAACGCGTATCCAATTCTCTAACCGCATCGTTTCACTGTTCCATATAAAATGTACACCATTTCTTGCACCATGCACGTTCTTACAATACTAATCTATGTTTTATCCCTGGTTCATTGCAACCTAGAACAGGAACTAAAACGATACTTGGACATGAAAAGCAGTTCTATGCTTGGATCTGCGATAGGATATGATAACACCTGTCCTACAACACCTATACAGACAGCGGCAGCTATTAGAACGTGGCCAGCGGGAATACGTGGTATATAAGTAGCATTGGAATAGCTTGGTGTGGATCGTATTGTGTGAAATGAATAGTATTGCAGGGCAGTATCGTATTATGTAGAAATACCGTGTTGTAGCGATGGCGTATTATCTTGTAATAATGTAGGCACATATCTTATTGTTACGCTATTTAAACCTGCGGTATTATGTTCGTATTAAACTTCGCATTCTTCATTTGTACTTGCTACCGACCCGTACGTGCGCATCATTTTATGCCCGTACACTTCTCTTTATGCACTTTTATACATATTTATATCTTTCATGCGCATTATAAAATAAATTATTGCGGTTCTGTACATAATACCAACTTATTTTGCTACCACGTAGGCAACAATCGTTCACTATACCATTATTCCTATCCAATGCCATGATCCCATACCGTACTTCCTATCCAATGCCATGATCCCATACCGTACTTCCTATCCAATGCCATGATCCCATACCGTACTTCCTATCCAATGCCATGATCCCATACCGTACTTCCTATCCAATGCCATGATCCCATACCATGCTTCCTATCCAATGCCATGATCCCATGCTATGCTTCCTATCCAATGCCATATTATACCACCGTTTCATCTTCTGTATAAATTCTTACTCAATTCCAATGCAATGCTAACATTCCTATCAATACGCACGCTTGCCATCCTCACAAAGACGTACGCACTACAACATTCTAAGGGCGAGCATGTATATGAAGCATTGCCAGGGCTAGGTGGTCCTTTTCCAATGTCACCTGCTGATGCGGTTGCTAGTGCCGTGGAGAATAATGATGATGTGTTTGGAATGTAGCACTGTGGTAAAAGCAAAAGACAAGAAGTGAATTAAACGTATCCATCAAATATTTCCAATAGTATGATCATTTCCAGCAAATACCTTCATAGAAGCACTAATCACATGCTTGTGCTGCGCAGCAGCGGTAAATAAAACATTACTCAGCAGCACACCCTCGTTCTATCACCGGAAAGAAAAAACTTTTCGTACCGTATCCCAGTCAAACATTCTTTATGCATTGCTCGGTATTTGTTGCATTCTTACACATCCCTGCTTGTATGGCCGCAGCAACCTGCCATGTTTGATAAAAATGTTGCACAGAGGATGGTTGTTTGAACCGTAAACAAGGGCTAACAATTATAAATCAGTTTATGCACAAATGCGTTCACAGTGCAAAATAATAGCATGCTATTATGCAATGCATAAACAAAATACACTTCTTAACTGCGTGTTATTGTTGTTGAGGAGGATGCGTGCTTTAACATGAACACGAAAAGGTGATAATCGCAATTTAACAATCATAACGCTGTTCTGAGAACGGCGTGCGATAGTAAGTGATACTTTATAACGGTGTTAGAATGAAACACCTGGTGTGAAAGTAAAGAATAGCACAGTGCATTGAACAGATAAGGTGTTCAAAACATTAATACGGTATGTGAACTGATCGCATAACGTGATATGGCATGGTATGCGGTCAATAGAATGTTATAGCACCATAAATAAACTATTATTAGCGCTACACCACGTTAATGCTGATACCGTACCACGTATTACATTGCGTGTCTTACCTCGTGCATCCTAAAACGTATCTCACCCCACACCACCTATATAAAAAGAACAGAACCACCAAGCAATGAAAGTGCCATCAATAGCAGCAATTATTCAAATAGCGTTCGCACATTGCAGGTTTAGCAATCCTGGCAATGATATGACCGATTTAAGAAGCAGTGGACTCGTGCATGGGCTGCAAGGATTGACGAGTGATTTGCCCATGACACCTTCCATGATTATGGCCAAGGCTGCAGCTGTCAACGCAGGTATGTTTGGTGTTAGGTAAAAATGCAAAGTGATATGCTAAACTGTTCGTGTCATGATTGATACGAGGTGTTATTTATGAGTTAGGTGTTTGCATTTAATATTGCTGTGACATATCTTGTCGTTCCCATCTTAACTTTGAGCATACCGTAATTTTGTTACGTTTCCATCTTAATCTTGTTACATCCATCTTAACTTTGTTACGCTCCTACCTTGTCGCCATAGATCACGGTCTTCAAATCATCCACCCGTTTTAACGCACTCCATAACAATTTTTATGTATCACACCCACCGATACCATAATCACTCCCTTATTAGTAAATCACTGCGTTTTTGCAGAGCTGTTCATTATTCACACTGCACGGTGCTAAAAGGAAAGTTACGGTTCAATTCCGTGTTTTAACGGTGATTTGTAAATTAATACATCATTGCATCTTTTTATGATTCCTAATCTTAAAATATGCATGGAGTGCCTCTAAATCGTGGTGAGTGTGCGTGAAACCTTGCTGGTACATGTGATGCTGCGTTGTAGGATGTAAACAGACCGGTAATATATTGGTTTGTAAAGAAGAAAAGGTACCACCTTGACAAGTTGATATGTGTGCTAGAAATAAATGATCCTTTGTAATTATTACCTTTTCATGTCAGCAACAAATAAATTATACTTCTTGAGCAATAATTGTTACCTGCAAATTGTATGATTATGATCCTGGGTTGACATTTTATGGGTGGTATGCAAGGTAGTATCGTAATAAAGAAGTGTGTTGCTCTGCTAGTTACATTATTTTCTCTGCTTTACGATATGGTACAACCCATGAATTGATGATTCACCTTTCATGTTATTTACTACCAAGAATGTATGTTGCTGTCTAAACCACGCATGAGGGGCAGTTCGATTTTTCCCTTTTACCTCCGAGAGAATGAAGTGTAGTGAGTGCATAAGGGCACTTGAATCGGAATGTTCACATTTTACCTCTGTATGAATAGCTAAGAAAGCAATGAAAACAATTTATTAGCTGTGCACGTTTACAAACATGATATACTACGAGTGAACGAGTATGAAAATCACTGTATCAAGTGATCAACATTAATAAATAAATGTTAAATTTAGATACAATTACAACAACTCATTACACATCAGCATAAAGATCTATATTATGAAGCGATAGCGGTACCAAACATCTCACAACCAGCTCTTATCCCTAATCCTTACAATAACTCAAAAACCAAAAACAAACAAAATTTTAGGCCCTACCCCTAGAAATGGCACGAACCGTACGACCATCCCGTCCAAAATCACAGAGCCCTATAAAAAAAGTACGCAAGCCTATTGAAAGCAAGGTGGCGCGCAAGAAATCTCTAAGCATAAAAACACCCACAGTAAAGCAATTGCCCATCAAAAAGCCGTCTAAGCTGCGCTATCATGTGGAGAAGGAAATAAAGTACTATCGGCAGTCGATAACACACCTTGTGCCCAAGGCGTGTTTTATTAGAATGCTAAAGACGATGGTTCTCAAGATGGACACACAGATGCGGTTTACGAAGGATGCGCTTGATATGTTGCAGGACGCGTATGAGAGCTACATTGTTGCAAATATGGAGACATCTTATCTTGCAACTGTGCATGCCAAGCGTGTTACGCTCAAGTCTGTTGATATTAATCTGGTGAAGAGAATTAAGGATAGACAGTTGTTTTAGGTGCTGAGCAATAAAATTAAATGGTTTGTATCACAATGTGTAACAAGAAAGCGGCTATTGTACAGTTTGTTTTTGTTTTTACTGTTTTGTTACGGTCTTTCACCGTTTTATCGTACGGTTTCCATCCATTAAAGCACCGCTCATTCTATAAAATTGCTGCTATACTCATACTTAGCCAGCAATAAATAACAAATTACACCACTTGTTCTACTTGTGATAAATTCATTCTCAGTCTGCAGCCACGTTCCTGTTTTGGGCACAATTGTCGCACCGTTTTTGTAATCAACTCATCGTTTGATCACTATTTGTATCATGAAAAAGTATGATATTCGTCATCAAAGCCACAGCTTCAAGTGCCTATGCACAAAGCGCACCGCAAATATCAGGTCATAGCATAACTATTAAGAATATACTCGCACTGTGCATTCTTTCATTTTCCTTTACCTCGTTAAGGTTATACAAGGATAGATTTGATGGTAATATATGAGCAATTGATGCTAGTGTGATGAATATACGTGTAAATTTTAATTATCGCTATGATATTGTAATTCATCGCTTCACTACATTATTTAAATCATCTTCGAGCACTAGCACTTCATAACCAACACATTTAATCTTTCCACAGGTTATTGAAATTGGTCAATTGCTGTATTTGGTTAAGGTTATGTTTAATTATGAGGATAGCGAAAGAATAATTCGTAGTCATGTATGATAATAAAAAAACACGTTTAGTTTGAACGGATTAATAGAGACAAGCAACATTCTAGTGATAAGTTTAGTACAAGTATCGAGAACAATGAGGTGAACTGCATCTAATTATATTGTCCAGAATTATTTTACCCTTGCAATAATAAAAACCCTTAAAATGGTGATACTCTCCATATTATGATCAGAAGACGATGAGTGATACGGTTTTTTGCTGTTACGAGAGGTTCAAAGCTCATTCATACACGAACACCATAGACGGGCAAAATGCATCATATATACAATTATACATTGTTACCGCCCCATGTGTTCACTTCTTTCTCAGCACATTTTTGCTGACTTTAGCTCTATACTCCTCTAGACCGGCTGCCTTCAAATCAAACATAAGTGCTTGTTTCAACAGGTAGAGCGGATCTGAAAGAATTTTCTTGGGAATAGACAGTATAAAGTCGAAATCGTTCTTTAGGTTGAAGGTCCGTCCTATACTAAAGGTGATGAACAGCTCACCCGATTCATTGGCCTTAACAAAGTCAAGGAACGTTTTCAACGCCTTGACAAAATCATTAATGATAGGTTTATCTGTGGCTGGAATGACCGATACGAGTGCACGTGGAAAGAAGAAGGCAAACTGCGCAGGTATGAACGCTACGATGTATGTGCACATGAAGTATCGTATTTCTAGGCTGATAGCAAGTCGACCGTTGAGAGCCAAATCATCAAAGTGCAGCATGATCCAGTCGTGTAACCGTTTGAACGCCTTCTTGTTGTTTATGGTAGGAACGGAGCCCTTGGGCAGTCCAAGCTGATCGTTGATGTACTCATCCATGCTGTCCAGGTCGTTATGCATCTGCGCTACTTCCTCATTCGATGCACATCTGGGAGTGAACCTTTCTGGTTCACGTGATGGCAGGCCGAGCAGATGATTGAAATCTGGATTCCTAGGATCGCTTTTCGCTGTGTACATCTTCGATTCCTTGTCATTCGCGCTGAGTTTCTCCAGTTCCTGATCTGTCAGGTCCATGGATATCATGACTTGGTTACGTGCATAGCACATAGCAAGCAAAACAAGCATGGAACGTGATGAACTGCCACTTTTATTACATTCATGATGAAACGTTGTGTGTAACAGCAAGTAGGGATGAAGCGGCAGGTAAGCCGAAACAGTGAAGAGATAAACAAACATGTTCTAAAAAAGCAGGCAGGGGGCAATGTACAGCCTAAATTCGGTGAGGAAAGGAATACGAACAAGCCGGGTCGTGGAACAAAACGCAAATCATGCTAATGCAGGCTTTAATACTGTGGAAGAAGAATGCTGCAGATTGAGGAGAAGAGCGGAGCAAAAACAAAATGTTCGTTTTCCACAATAGAGGATCTTTTGCTCAACCTCACCACGCATATTTCTCATAGCACGCAATTACATTGATCTGAAGTCGTACATGGCACCATTCACAAAATGTGCTTGCTAAATCATGCATAAAGACACATCTGCTCATCATTTGTTCATGAAATATGACGAGAATCATATTTGGATGTTGTTTTGCAACAAATGCATTGCACCTCCGACGATGTATCAAAGCGTACAAATTATCTGTGTATCCTAGTCATTTGTTGGCATGTAATGGACAACGACTAAATCTGTCCATATAGAGAATCGATGAGAAGAACAAATGGATGCGTAAACCGTACTGTACTGATCTACTAAGCCTCATCGATACTAGTTATAAGTACATAGATGCATCCTCTGCATTTAGCTCATAAATGCGTTTATCTAAACTATGAATTCGTAGATGTTAAATAATTAGTTGTCAGCAACGATAGAATAACGGGTATAAAAGGAAAGGAGATAACAAGCCTCTCCTAAACGGGATCATAGGACATTCATTACGCGGCATAAACAGAGCTGCATCTGGATATGAAGGCAGCTCAAGTTGATGGGTATTTTATGCCGTTCCTTCTCTTGAAAGACTTGTAATTCACTTTTATAATTTTCATTGCATTTTATGTTGACCCCTTTTGTGACTTATGTCTGTACCAATTTTGATCCTCGATACAGGCATGTGCTGTTAAATATTTTTCTGTCTGTCATCTGTTATTTTCTATGATTCTCTCTTGATATTACTTGATTGTTGTGTACTCTTTTTGTTTTACTGTCTGTGTCAGGATTGTTTTGGTAGACAATTCTTCTACCTCGTTTAGAATCAATTCTTCAATATATTAATTTTCTGGATGAGCTGCATGTATTCTTATCACAACGCTGCTTCGTTCATCCAATCAATTAATTCTACTACCGAACAATTATCATTCATCCAATCAATTAATCCTGCTACTGAGCAGCTTCTCTCTTATTCTCCTTCCCTTCCGCTGCGCAATAAACAATCATGCTGTTCGCATTTATTTTCTTTTATTTTTACCCCTTCATGGAAACACTCGCTCAGATCCTTAGAGCGCCTGACCAGCAGACAA